TCCTCCTCCTCCTCCTCCTCCTCCTCCTCCTTCTTTCTTTTCTCCTTCCTTGGACTCCTCCTCCTCCTCTCCACCCGCGCCCCCTCGCCCAAGAACCAGTTGAAAACTTTCTTCAAGGCGCCTGAGAAGATGCTGCCCTCTTGTGGACTGAGTACAGTGATGAACGAAATGGGCAAAATGCTAACTCTTGGCCTAATTCTGTTACATTAACAAAGAATTAAGGAAGATTTGCTTCAAGTAACTCTCATAGATGTGTGGGATGTGTATGTATTTTACAGGATAGAACAACAAACTTTTCTCCTAATGGAACCACATATTTTTCTCATGTTATCAGAACAGTCCTAGCTTAGTTCATGAATGCATGTGGAAGTTACAAAGACTCAATAACATTGCTAATGTAGTCCACCAAAGTGATTTAATTCCAAAGTAAATAAAATTTAACGCTGATTCCAAAACAGAATGAAAACCCTTCAAGTTTGTATGCTCATTTCTGGGGAAAGGGGACATAAAATGTCTCTCTATGGGGAATGATGGTTGGTGTATTTTCTCTTTTACACAATAAAACCAAATATTAGCATTTCAGTCTAAATTTCATTGTGTGAGTCATCAGATATAACACACTATATCCTAGCTGTCTGTACTCTGGGATTGCTCACGATTGTCTGAATCTGGTGTCATAGGAGACATGATTGTGTTTAATACCACAAATGTTTCATCGTATTAGAATTCTACTGAAGAATCTTTAATTAAATGCTATTTGACACAAATTGATCAAATGGATTAATCAGAATGGCTGGTGAAGTAGCATGGCTGTTATAAAACTAATTTCTATAATCTATCATAATATAGGACCAAGAATGGATAAGGTTGAAAGATAAGGTTGAGCAATTTACCTGGCCTCATAAAGTTTGTAATCTAATTAGATAATCACTCAAAATATTGGCACGTAACTCAACATCATAGCTGCATGCTATGATTCTTACTATAAGGGAAATAACTAGCTTTAGGCAGCAAGTTCAGCAGAAGTAAGAGGATTTCTCTGCAGCAGTGGTATTTGCACTGAGACTTGAAGGTTGAGAATGAGTCAGGTTAGCCAAGATTTGGGGGAATGGTACTTCAGGTGGATAAGAGTAAGACTAAATGTGGAAACGGACATGGCAAACTCAGTAAACTGAAGGAGACTAGTGTTGTTGGGTCATAGAGAGGGGGAAAGGAGAATTAAGAGCTGAGATTGAAGGGTCAGGCCAGGTAAAAATTATGTACACCTTGTATATCACAGCCCAAAGTTTGTATTTCATTGTAGGAACAATAGAAAGCCACTGAAGCATTTCAGGTAAGGATAGATTTGATTAAACCTCTAACAAGCAGGCAACTGACCAGATTGGTGATTTCCAACTGTTAAGTGACAGACTCTTCTGAGGACTTTGTTACCATAGAATGGGTCTGGGGAGCCTGAAGTTTTGCACAGCCAGAGTGACTGCTCTTCCTCATCCTGAGGAGCACCAATGTGTGCAACAGATGCCTGGAGAGAAAAAGCCCTAGTAAGTTGGTAACTTGAACCAGAACAACACATTTCAACCTTTTTTTTTACGTATCTTAGTGTAGGAAAGGATAATGATTCTGTGATGGATTTTGATGTTTTCTCATCCTGTTTTCCTTATTCTTTTCTGACAAAAATTTATAACTTCACATGTAAATAAAAAATGAAATTAAAAGTCTGTGAAAACTTTCGTGTAAAATAGTAACTACTTTACAATAATAATGTCCACAGCTGATGAGGTAATGATAAATCAGCAGCATCAATATGTCACTGTTGACATCATATTTTGATGAAATAATTTTTTTTTTTTTGGTATCGAGGATCGAACTCGGGACCTTGCACTTGCGAGGCAGGCGCCAGAACCACTGAGCTAAATCACTGGCCCTTGATGAAATAATTTTTATGAAAATTAGACATTCAGTGTCATGGATTTGTCATATTTGGGCAACTTTATTTCCAATAAAACTGTAACTTAATGATGTTCTTTAAAAATATTCCTGCAAGCTTGAGGCCAGCCTAGGGTACCTGGTGAGTTCAAGACCACCCTGCGTTATCTAGTGACACCTTGTCTCATAAGAAAATAAACTCAGTAATAGAAAAAGTATCAAAAGTTATTAGTTTTTAAAATCTATTTTAAAACCATTTGAAATTATGCTCCCAATATTTTATCTGTCTTGGAGATACATAAATATAGTGTGGATAAAGACAACCATGTTAATAAATACTGGATATGCAATGATCCCCTTTCATAGAAAAATACAACTGGATATGTGTGCTCCCAATATTTAGTTGTCATTTCTAGTTGTAATTTTAGTTGTCAAATTAGTTGTCACTTCTAGGCCTTGGAATTATAGGACTGTTTTATTATTATTGAGTACTTCTCTCTTCTAAGTTATCAAAAATAATACATTTAATTAAGAAATAAATTAAGTTTAATTTACAACGCAAACTCAATCCTTCAGACTCTGTCTTCTGCTATGGCCCTTTTGTGGAAAAACCAATTGAAGTGAGAATGTTTGAGTGCTACTCCTGATTTCCATTTCTGTAAGTTATGCTTTGGCTAAGTGGCACCATGCCTGTGTGTCCTAATTAGCTCATCAATAAAAAAAGGAGAATGAGCTGGGTCAGTCTTTCCTAAATCATGATTGATTCAGGAGGTCATGTCAAGAAATATAGAGAGGAGTTTTTTCAATTGTTATACATACAATGATATTTTAATTTGTATTAGGAAAATATATAACCAATATATCAAATATATTGCCTCATAAATAATACCTTTTTAAAAATCACGTTTATTTATTAATAAAAATTATTTAATATTAAATTAAATAACTCTCCATTGTCAAATTCAACTCATTCCACATTCATGTTCAAACACTAAAAAATTCAAGAACTAAAGATATTTTTCCCATAAGAAATAATTCAAACCCAAATAACTGGTTCTGAGGCCCCAAAATTACACTTTTAAATTCATTTTTCTAGGTCTGTAACAAATTTTGCAATGATTTCTTTCTCTAATGAAGCAGAACTTAAAGAAAAACAAGTTCTTCCCAGCCTTGGGCAGTTCCCCTCTCCTCAATAATTCCCCTTCTCCCCTGAGGCTATAACTCCTTGTTCTGGTACAGATAAAATTGACAACTACGTCCTGGAAACAACGTTCATGGCACTCTGTTCTCATATGATTTATAAGACACTGTCTTCTTTCAAAGCAAAGTTACAAAACTGTCTACCCTTGTCCTGTTCCTGTAAACTCACTTGCCACATTATTAGGAAAACCACCCTCTTTGACAAAATGTATAAAAGCTGGAACTTCTCCTTGTTCTTTGCTCTTCCTTTGGACAGGAGTCTGTTAAGCTGGTGTACACCTTAAATCTGAAGTCCTCCTGTTTCAGTCCATGGGTCTCTCCAGTCTTTTGGATTCCCCCAACACTGACACTATTGTGGTTCTCACAGTATTCCTCTTAGCTTTACTGTTGGTATTGCTAAATGTCTGTGGTTTCTTTTGGTTTCTTTGGTTTCTTTTCCATGGTTATGATATTTTATGTAAATAAGGTGAAAAAAAAGCACAGCAGCGAATATTTTAACACACTGCCGTAACCACTTTATGTTTTCTGGATTAGAGAGATATGCTTAGACTGAAGTGTCACCCTTTGTGTACACAGCAAGTCTCAATGCCTGACTCATTCCTGGCCAGTACTGGTTTTTTCAAGTCAGATTTTTTATTCAACTATCAAGCAAAGTTATGAACACTGAGCAGATTTTTTTTTTAATTTTGCTGTTTGAGTAATGGAAAGTTCAACCTTGGAGTCATTTGACAACTGAAGGATCACTATAATCACATAAGGGTATACAGATTAAAAGTAGTGTGGCTGTTATGAGCAAAGTGGTAAAGTACTGATGGTGAGGGTCCAGATTTGTGAACACTGCTTTCCTGATCTTGGGGCCTGAGCCAAAGAGTCTGTCCCCTTAGAGAAAGGGCCAAGGAATGGGCATGTATGGAGGCAAACAGGCCCAGGGTCATTTAAACAATAACTAAAGGGAATCCCAGATGAGTTCAAATTTATCACACATGGTATCATCCCTCAATGTTTTTTGGCAGAGCTTTTTAGGAAAATCACCGCTAGCCATAAAAAACTTTTCTCTTTCTCCCCTACAATGAGCCTGTGTTGGGGGCCAAGCTCTAGGTTGTGGTACTGCCACAGGTGCTGGGGACAGTGGGCCCCAAAGCACAGAAACAGATGGCTGAATTGTTAGCATAACTTCTTCCTCCTTAGCACTTTTTAAGATTCCTGTCTGCCTACTCTTCCTGGCTGGATTGAGTGAAGGTCAAAGACACTAGTGCTTTCCCAGGACACCGTGGGAAACAGTGAAGTTGAGGACCATTCTCCTCTGAGAAGTGTGATTAGGAAAGACAGTTATTCTCTGCTGGACACTCAGGAATGAAGGGCTCTGCTCCACCACATGCAGGCTGCTTCTCCCTGTTTAAAAGCACCAGCTCACTCAGGAGATTCATTGGTGTTGACTACTTTTTGAAAATATTCACTCTTTTCACAGTCTCTATTGGCTGAAGATTTAGCTCAGTGGTTCTCCCGCCTGCCTCGCAAGTCCAAGGTCCCGAGTTCGATCCCTGGTACCAAAACAAGAATCACAGTCTCGGTCCATGGGAATAGTATCTCTAACCATCTTTCTGTAACTTTGAGCCCTATAAAGATTACTATAGGGCCAGGAATTTTTCTCAGTGGTTTTGCCACCTGCTGCACAACCACAAGGACCTGTGTTTGATCCCCGATACCAAAAAAAAAAAAAAGATTACTATAATCTATTACTTTTATTGACAACTCCAAAGCCACCAACTCACAGAATAGCTGACAAGAAAAATTCAGGAATGAAATGTCCAAGAGTTGCTCCGTTTTCAGACTCACTGAGGACTCTGGTCCTCAACAGCATATTTCCCTAAGCACATATTCACAATTCTCCCATTGCAGAGAGCTGAGAGTCTACCCTGTGAACCAGACACCAGATTTCTCCAGCTGTGCTCAGATCATACAGCTATCCCAGGTCTCTGCAGAATAATCAGGGAAGGGCCAGGTCAGAACCAGGCACAGATGTGCTGGAGAGCTAAAATATTGTTTGTTCCCTACATTGATCTCTTTCTTTTAAAATTATTGAGCAGCTAACTTTCATTAAAATCATCCCTCCTAGAAAGCTCCCCTCCTTTCCTTTCCTTTCCTTTCCTCTCCTTTCTTTTCCAATGTAGAAATCTATGAATGAGCTCCCAGATATGAATCTTGTTTTTGGCACTGTTATGCTGTGCAATGTAATAATGTTATATATGAGCCCTGCTCCACAAAGCTTATGGGGAGTCATCTTAGAATTTACATTAAATTATACCAGAAGCAAAAAAATCATGTTCTGTGCATAAAATGTATGGGATTAATAAACTAAACAAGAAAACCATTACAGTTATTTTAATTGAATGGGAGAAACCCAGTGTGGAATAAAGAGTGACCTCAGCAATGACCATGCTCTAATAGTAATACAATCAATACCAGAGAATGGAAAAATAAGCTTTAATCCATGCTAATGATTTACTATTATTTTTTAAATAAAATTCATCCCATCATTCCATCTATCATCCTGAAATAACTACCATTATTTAAAAATAATTTTCTAATAACACCATTTAATTACTCAAATTCATTTAATTTTATTCAGTCCTTATAGTCTCGTGGTGAAATAAGTATTACTACAGCTAATAAAATGTATCTATTATAAACTTAAGAAATGCTGCCCATGGTCCTTTACTGACACATACAGCACTTCAAATCTATGGTTTTAATTACCACACGACACCTATCAGTCACAAGAAGTACCGGGAAGTACTTCTGTAAGTCACGAGCTCCACAGGATAGTCCTGTAACAGAAATTCAACACTGCAGATAAATGGAGAATCAAGCCTCACGAGCGAAGCTGTTTTGGCATCTATATTTGTCTGTTTTCTTCATTATTCCTTATACCTACAAAACACCTATCACTTATAAAGTATTTAATAAATAATTGTATAATTAATACATTTAATGTGTGTCTGTTCTTCAATACCTAAGTATATTTTTATTTCCCCATAAAGCTTACCCCAGTCTTTTTTGAGCCGCAGTGATCTCCGGGGAATAATTTTAAACCTCATTTGTGCCATGATCTCATCACTTGTGAAATTATATACAACAAACTAAAGAATACCCCTGCTCCACCTCCTAAGCCTCCTGCTAACCTCCAGGTGCAGGTTTGGGTACAGGCACCAGGTGCCCAGGGAGCATAGTGCACCCACTACACAGATGTAGGAGCCAGAGTCGCTGAGCTGGGAGGCTGTGAAGTGCTTCACAGTTGCATTCGGGGTTACTGTATACCTTCCACCTGACCTCTTGCTGTCAGTGGAATCGATGATTATCATGGAAACAGGCCCTCTCCCTGGGTCCTGTCTGTGCCACCTTAAGTCGTTACAGGGGCTCACAGTATAATCACATTGAAGACTGCAGTTCTCTCCCTGACACACAGTCAGAGACTGGGGACTGCTCCACTAAAGGTTTGCCTTTCACACCTATTCCAAAAGCAGAAAGAAATGAGAGATCAATAGTCTAGTTTTAATACTTTCTAATTTCCATCCTTCCTATACTCTCTCAGGAATTCCAGCTGAACCAGAGGGAGCCCCATTGTCTTCTTTTCTCCTATTGCAATGCAATATACGTTGCCCCAGGTCCTATGATAATCTCCCCTCACTTTGTGTGTCAGGGCTGAAAGTCCTCATAACTTACAACAAATACAAAGACACAAACCCCCAAAGGAGGTCCTCAAATGCTCCCCCATTCTTATTCTGCAAAGGTGTGCCATCTCAACACCGACTTGTCTACTCAACATCATCTCTTCCTTGTAACATTAAACAAAAGGATTCTCAGGGAGTATGCCCATCCAGTCAGAGACCAGATTCAGCTACACATATAGTGCTCACTTTTGTAGGCGAGGACTATGCACACGCTGCCTGCCACCTTGGGGCCAGAGCTATAGTTGCTCAGAATCTCTAAGTAGGTTCAATTGCTATGTTTCTTCTTCACTATTTGCAAAGAGATGTAGAATACAATCTCCTACATGTCTAGAGAAACACAATAGATTACTAATTAAAATGTATATTTGAAGATCTCAATTAAATTCTCACTATATATGATAAGAACGGGGTGTTCTGATAAAAGATATGGTTAGTGCAAAACCAATAATTTTTATTTATTTGTTTGAGAAAGGGCCTTGCTATGTTCCAGATTGATCTCAACTCCTGATCCTCCTGCCTCAGCTTCCCAGATTACTGAGACTACAGCTGTGCCACCGTGCCCTACTGATCTTTGAACTGTTTAAAACTGATAATTCATATAAAAGTCCTATAATAGGGACTAGTATGAACTTCAACTAAAATATTAGCTGTTTTAGGATAGGAGTTTTTCTCTGTTCTATTCTTTATTATATCTCCAGTTTCTAGAAAGTGATCAGTTCAGAAGTAGATACATGATAAATCCTTACTGAATAAGTGAGAATATTTGTTCTAGTAATCATAGTAGTATTTTTCATTAATTATTAATTGAACAATATTTTAAAGGCCTACTGTTGCTTAGGCATTAATATGTGCCAAGGATAAGCAAAGTCCCTGATGTCATAGAAATATATTCTATTGAAAGGCCCAACGGAATATTTGAGCTCAGATACTGGAAAGTTCTCAATGTTAAATCTTGTGAAAATTTTCATCTTATTGTTCTTATTTTCCTCTGTGAAATAGGACTCCAATAAAAAGGTAGTTATGTGGGGACTTATATTTGCAGTTGAACTCAGTGACACATAAAAAAATAATGAAAAAAGATACTTCAGGAAAAAATCAAAAGAAAGCTTGTGTATTATCCTCATATAAGACAAAATAGGCTTTTAGAAAATAATTAGTGGAGGTAAAGGGGTTGGAAAGTGGAGGTGATAGTTGCTTTTATGTGTTTCCTTGGCTAAAGAGAAATGAGTAGCTAGATATCTGCTCTAACACTTATCTAGATGTCCCTGTAAAGATATTTTAGAGGAGATTAATACTTAAATCAGTAGGCTTTGAATAAAGCAGATTTTTCTCCAAAGAGAGTTGTTGGTCTTATGCAATTAGTTGAAGGACTTAAGAGAAAAATACTGAACTCTCTCAGTGCAGAAGAAACTCTACCTACAGAAGGCCTTCAGAATTGAGCTGCAGAATGAAGTCTCCCATGTCTGCAGTTTGCCTGCAGAAGTTGGACTTGCCAGTTCCCATAATCACAATTCCTTAAAATAAATCTTAGATAAATGAGATAATGAAAAGATAGAATTAATTAAAAATAATGATTACTTTAGAAGAACATATGCCTTATTTATACACATATGAAAGGTTTGTATCTCTGTGGATGACAGCACCACATATCTTTGTCAGAGCTATGAGTTATGGATCATCTTATGGATGTGGCTGATGTGGGCAAATCTGATGTGGGCAAATCTTCACTATGGAGATTGAGCTCTTCCAAACTGGAGATGTTAAGAAAATGGAGGGACCTCATAGCTCAAAGTTCATCATGTAGCAGGCACCTGTACAAAGTAGTTATGACTACAGTTTATTCACAGCAACCAAAGCTCAATCAAATTAATCTATTAAAAAGTGTAAAATCACCATGACATTTTAAAAAGAAACATGGTGAGGTTTCAAGACCTCCATTAGTTAAAAAAAAGTCTGTAACATAATATTTATTCAATAAGTACTTATTGGATTAATTGGCATAAAAACCTGATAATTGATACAGACTTTTACTGCTTTGTCAGTCATTTGCTTCTAATTTTTCAGCCATTTTCTTTTCAAGCTGGATCTCACAGCCAAAAGGGCAATTGTTTACTGTGCTTACTCTTCCTTTGCAACCTTCCATCAAAAATTCTTTCTCCAACTTCAAGCTACAGTTCATGGATCTGGATGTCCTTAATTACTGATGACCCCAGATGTGGTCATGAGCCCGGAGAGGGGCTTACTCGTGAGGTCTCCCTCTAACACTGCACCTGTGCTGTCTCAGCCTTAGCTGTTTCCTGTGGGAGATGGTGACTTTCTGCCTTGGTCCCTAACGCAGATGTCTGTCTCAGGCAGACCCTGGGGTTTTTGTACACCTCCCGTCAACAATCCTTTTACTGTGGCCTCCCTCAGTGCACAGAAATATACCGCTGAGTCCTCCAGTTGTGAAGCTGAGATGACAAGCTGGATGGATTTGCTTGCTTTCTGGAAATTCAAGGAGTAGCGACCTTCTGTTGCATTTTGCTGGCTGTAAGACTCTTGGCGAATGAGGAAGACCATCTCCCCACTGCCAGGCTGCTTGTACCAAAAGAGACCATAATTTGTATCGCTGGTGTCATAGGTGCAGTGCAGGATTGTAGTCTCCATCTCCTGCACTGACATTGGTGGCTGGGCTTGAGTTACCTTCTGGGCAATACTGGATCCTGAAGGAAAAAAATCAGAGAGTTTAGCCATATGTAGTGTGGGACAACCTTCCATTTTTATACCCTGTCATTACTTTTTCCCCTATTCCCCGTAAGAAAATCCCTGTACTCCTGTCTTTAGGTCACAAAGGAGGTTCAATACCACTGGAACTTCGTACCCAGCCATGTTGAAGCTATGACCAACTTCAGTAACCCAAAAAGAGACATGTTTGCATTTATCATCTAGAAGGAAAGTTTGTCTTTCTTCAAGTTCAGTGCTCTGCACTGTGATGTGAGCCTAAGCGGGGGCAAGGGGAAGGAAGAATTACTGAGTTCTGCTGTGGTTGCTCTAAAGCAGGAAACAAAGATTTCCTAGTGAAGGAAGTAGGCTGGGCTCTGTGTCCTGGCTGACAGTCTCACCCAACCTGAACCTCCTTCTAAGTCAACCAATTCTAATATGGTAATATTAATATGGTAGCCATTCAATCTGAAAATATACATGAGTGCATTGAAAGGACAATATCTTTGAGCAACTGCTATCCTCAGTCATTGGACCTGTGATGGGCCTAGGAGGCTGGCACTTATTTAAAAGCACTGTGTACAATGGATTATGAAGACAATGTAAGATGTCATGACCATGTGTCCTCATGCGTATGTATGTCATTTATTCTAACATATAAATCACTGCATCAATAGCAGGCAAAGTTGGTTGAACTAAACACTGCAGCTCTTTTGACCTATCTGTGGGTGTGATAACGTTCCTCATCATTTTCAATGTGTGATCAGTTATCTCTCTTGGGCCAAACAACACAGAAAATCTCTTTCATAAAGTCTTTAGAATGTTAGATCTCTGGACTTGATGCTACGTGTCTAAGTCTTTGTATTTTTTTACACAATATTAGCAATTCGTTGGGTAGTGAACTATTAATTTTAAATTTTTGTATTTTACATATTTTAATATTTGATATGTAGCATTTTATAACAGAAAAAAATTACAGATGCAATTTTCTGAGTCAGAAACCCATATGTGAAAAGGATTGTTATACAAATACTAAGCATTGAGAGATGTCTAAATAGCAAATGTAAAGTCATCTTTAAAGCCTAGATTTCAAGACAAAACCTTACTGGTTACCTTTAAAAATCTACCCAGTGCCACTTTAGGACTGCTGAACACATGGAGGTGATAGGATGTGGGCAACAGAAGAAGCATGAAACTCTTGACCCTTGCCCTAGATCCTGCCTTATGCGTCTCTTAATTCAGCTGTTTATATTCACCATGTACGCAGATATCAAAACATGTTTTGTGCACTGTAAATATGTACAATGACAAATAAAATAGAAAAATTTATGAAGCAACAGTCAGCTAGCAAAATGTCCTAAGCTTTTCCGGTCATCTTCATATTTTACACTTTTAATGTCTACATATTAGTTTCCAATTAGAAACAAAAACATGGCAAACACTATCCTGGCAGTTCTATGCCAAAGGACGGAGGGTGGACTCAGCTCACCCTCAGGTTTGCTCGCAGGCTGGAGGCGCATGGGACGCAGCGTGCACTGGTTGCACAGAAGTATGCAACTGCATTTTCTGGTTGGGTGGCTGCAATGTGCGAGGAGAAGTGCTTGGCTGACTGGTTTAATACAACGGGGAGTCTTCGGTTTTGCTTTCTGTCTGTATTTAAATGAATGTTAATTATGAGCTGAGGACCTTTCCCTGCTTCTCGGTTACATCACAAAAAAGTAGGATGAACCCCTGCCTAAATAAGTACAGTTGATAACAGAGCTGCCTCCCTCTGGACGTATAAAGGGCATCTATTAATATACTATGTAGGCCCCGAATCCTCAACTCACAGTCCAGCCGCAGCCATAAGAACTCGAATAAAGCGTGAGTGGATGTCTTCATAGTTCTTCCCAGCTAGGATCAATCTTAGTCTAGCAATCTCTAGCCCGGAGAGTTACTTCTGTTATATCTGGTTGTCTCGTTTTTTATTTAACAATTAAAGTGTTTTCTCATTTAGCAATTATAGTGGCTTTTCCTGTTGTCTACGCGGGCAGTAAGAAAAGGCTCAGTTTCCGCCTTAATCCCGTCCATTCAGAATTTACTAAAATGCCCCCCCTCCCACCTCCGCCCGCCATGAGGTCTGCACTAGTTGACGTGTGCTGCCACCTTGTGGTAACTCCCTAGCTACTGAACTCTGGTTAAAAGCTCATCTTTTACACTACCAAGGGTTCAGACATACAGTTCTTTATGTAGGTGTTTTAACAGAGATTAGATACACAGTCAATATGAAGAGGTCAAGGCCGATATTTATGTACACTACTGAGTCATTATTAATAAATTGAAAGGAGGTAAATGCTGTTAGTTTTTATTCAACAACAGGCTGGGTTTAAAATCAAGAAAGAACCCCGGTTCTTTCTCATAAAAAAAGAAAAAAAAAAAACTTTTCTTTCAGCCAAATTTACCTTCAAGATTTGTCTGTTACAGCAAAAAAAAAACTCTTCCTAAAATGAATGTGTAAGCCAAAGATCAGAGTGAGAGAGAGAGAAAAACACTGAATAGTTGAAATGCATGTTGTCTCAGACTCTGCTTCTCCAGGCTTGATCCTGCCCATGACTTTGACCTTCCCAAAGAATAGACAGTACCAGCAATCAAACCTGGGCATCCTCCCTCTGCAAAAATGGCAGTTGAGTAAAGTAAAGAAAATTTCAATGGTAAGCTAGTAAGGGGATAAGTTCTTGAGTTATTAATGTACCAATACAGAAACCATTTGACTTGTAGGTTGGGTTGATTTGCAATGAGAAACCATAGAAATCTTTTTCTATTCTGATGTGGCTTTCTTCCTGCGAAGTGCTAAAAAAAAGAGTAGAGAGTCTTTAAAAACAGCAGGCTACAGATTTCAAAAAGGTAACCACATATAAGTTAATTTTTGATGTGTTTTTATTTCCTGCTAGCAACACGGTTTGTATCCTCTGAATTTTAATAACTGATTTACACTTCCCTGAGATATCCTCCAACCTATGAGCCAGCCCTCTTGGCAAGGACTCCTGCTGCCTTGACCATTGACTTTTCTCCCGACTACATACACTACAATACTCCCCTCAAAATACTAATAAAGTTCTTCATTCCTATGAATTTCCAAGATATCTTCCCCTACCAAAAAGCATTTCTAATCTTCTGTAATTTTTTTGATTTTTTCTGGCTACTTTGGTGAGAATAAACATAGCAAAGTCTAAACATTGCCTGTGTCTGCTACAGGGATAGGATACTTAGGAAACTTGCCTAAGGAATTCACAATTATGAGAAGTGGTTTCTGATGAACAAAGATGACCTCTTTTCCAGAAGTGAGCACCTTTTTTACACCTTTCCTGTGATCTGTACTCAGTAGTCCCATGGAGTTATAGAGAAGAAAGCCTTCACTCATATCTCATGCTTTTCAAGATCTAAGCTTCAACTGTGATCAGCTTCAACTCAGTGTATATGTGCATGCGTGTGTGTTTTTGCATATATATATTTGCATATATATATCATCAAAATGTATACACACCACACTTCAGGAAAACTTGTATAAAAATTTTAATACTAAATTTATTGAGACATCGTGAGATTAATACAAGTTACCTTTAGCCTCTACAATTACAGGAGGTGTTCAAAGTGGTGGCCATTAGCTTCCAGAGATCTATTAGTGTGGCAAACTGCTGCTTAGGTAACCTTGGTCATTGAGATTGCTGCACATACATTTTAAGTTCTTCTCTAAGGGTCAAAAGTATAGTGAGTTTTCTGAGTTATACAACATCCTCTAGGGTTCTTCATACAAAGGTAACACCAAATGTTTTTTTTAAAAAAATCATACCATTTTTCTTTTCCTGAAGTATGTATACATTTTTGATGGATTCTGTGTATATATATTTTTTTTCTATTCTATTTTCTCACCATTCCCCATAAGATAGAATTCCCAAACCATTTATCGAGTGAACTGCCTCTTTCTTGGAGACACATCCTTCAGGCCAATATTTCCCCTTTGAGTAATGGCACCAGAAACAGATCTTTCTAGCACCTTCAAGATTGTCAGTTACAGGAGGACAATTTTCCTTAATGCCTGCTTCAATGACCTTTTTTTCTGACAATGTATGAGTGACATTCATTATGGTGAAATCCTTTGCTCAAGGACTATCCACCTGGGATAGTGAATACATGTTTCTACTTTTAAGAAAGTCTAAAAATCATCTGGGTTTGGTAGATTGCACCATGAATTTTTGGTCTAGTGAGTGGTGGACTGATTTGCTGGTAGAAAAACAGTGGTTCCGCCTGAGTCTCCTTCCAGCTCAAAGTGTCAGTCACTTACACCAATTGGAACTTTTGATCTGGCAGTCAGACTGCTTAGGCCAAGGCCATTCCAGGTCCAAGCTGCAGATCTCAAAGCAGCTGGACTCCCTGAGGCATTTTCTCTTTGTTCAGCAACCTGGCCCTTCAGGAATGTGTCAGGGGACAGATTCCTAAAGAAAAAATGAGGGAGTAGTTTCTTTCCATTCCCACTCCTTTATTAGTTAATTATTATATACTTAAATTTTTCATACAGTTTCTGCCTTTGTAGAATCATGTGGGACTAGAAGATTTCTAAAGATTCTTCTAGATCTAAAAATATTTAATACTATTTACAGAGAAAATGCTTATTAAAGGATAGCCAGATGAAATAAGGCAATTTATGAGAGTTAGGAGAAGTCCTTTACCATGGAATTCCAAGACCAATTTCATGTTCACATGCAATTTAGTGTGCCTGAGGTTATACTAATCAGTCCTTTAGTTTCTTATAAGGAGAGACAGGATCCTTGTATATATAACAAAGTAAACTTTCTCATTGAAAAAAGTTAGTGTTCTAAGTTTGTATAAAAAGGGTAACATTATTTTATACTTAGACTATCTTGACTAATCATATTATTCTTTCTGCTCTTCTGCAAGTTAATTTATTAGGGTTTCAAAAGTTATTCTTTTAGCAATTTCATTTTATATCAGGATTATAGAAAGTATGTCAGGTGTTTTTGGTAAATGAAAGATTGCAACTAGAATTTTTCATAATTTCTGATTTTGAGAAATAATACAGCAGATATTAAAGATCTGTAGAATATTTTATCTGCTATAATGATATTAACATGGATACCTAATAAAGTATTTTGAAATATAAATACTAGTAAATCTAGGATTGATTTTTTCAGTCAAATAATTATCCTAAGATGATTTACTCTTCATAAAGATCAGTTTCAAGTGAGTCAGAATTTTATTTTAAATGTAACTTATATAGAAATATTTTAGTGTATCCTCTGACATTTTCTGTAACTTGATAGCTGAAAGTGTTTTCATGATTGTACATAATTCGGAGTACTTACTTTTACACCTCATCACTTTAAGGAAAAATAATTTTAAAGTATCTATTTGTTAACAATTGGTTCATTCAGAAGTTCACATAAAAAGTGTTTTATTCCACCTTTGTATTAATCTCATCTTCATATTTAATTTTGATTTCTATGCTGGTGAGATTCACTCTATAATGTGGCTCAATTTTGGATTATTTTCTAAACTTTTTGCAAGTTGCTAATACATTTCCAAAAATGGCTTATTGTACTATGTATGTATATATATACATTTCATAATAATTTGTACTACTTTCATTTTGTGATAATTTGCTAAAAATGTCTGTTAACACCCACTTTTATGTGTCCCAGATTACCAGAGAGCTCCTAGTGTGCACATGCTCTTGGAATGGGACAACGAACTGTTCAGCATATAGGTTACCGGCGGTGCCCTTGAACCCAAGCTTGCATGTGTCCCTGTGTTTCTCATATGCTCATGTCATGCTCCATCTTCTTATCAGCTCAAAGGCCAATTTATTAAGAATGACACAGCAGCAATAGCAGAATATTATGACAACTTCTAGGCCCTTTGTGGAGCCAAGTCTGTGGACTTTATGGGCCGCCAGCCCAGGAGGCTGCACTTGTTCCCAGATTCCCTGGAATTGCCTCTTTGTCCACATCTTAGTTCTCTGGGCCTTGGTCTTTCACAGGAAATCCCATACACTCACATAAAGGTCCTTGCAAGGCTGTGATGCATACTCAAGTTTAAACCTTGGGTTTGCTTGTCAAGGTGTTGCTGCAAAGCTTTCTGCTCATTCTACCATACCTTACATAAGGTTGGAAAATCTGGAATAGTAGAGTTACTCAGAACATAAGCAAGGCCTGTGGAAAAGAAAAATGTAGTACAAATTATCGATATATATCATTTGCATGGTGGACTCTTCTGCTCTGGCTAGCTCGGGATATAAGCTCCGGTATAAGACACCCTGAGTGGGATGTCTTTCCTGGCTTCACTGCTAAGCAACCATGTGAGCTACGAATAGTGCCTTCTGCTCTAGAATCCTCTGTTTTCCTGAGCGAAGTGAAGGAAAATTGTCAGTACTTAGATCACAAACCGCAATCACTTAGTCAGAGTGACTGACACTCAATAACATGAGAGATCTTTTCATTATACTGGTTATGGATTCCAAGATTTAAAAAAATTAAAATACAACCACACGACATGACTGTACTGAAACGTCTGATGTTAGCAGAAGTAAAACTGGTGCAGGGTGAATTAGGAAACCCAAAGCTGTGTGAGTCCCCCTGAGGCAGGGGCTGTGGCTCAGGCCCAGCTGCAGTTTGGGGCCAGGCTGCAGGTAACCTGGGAGCACTGTGCCTCTCCTGCACAGAGGTAGAAGCCTGAGTCTCCCAGGTCAGAGGCTGTAATCTGCAGGGTGCTATAACGTTCTTTGAAATTAAATGTTGACTCTAGCCTTCCATTCTGCTTTGTCCCTGGAGCCATGAAGAACAGACTGATGAGGCCGCCTCCTGGATTTTGCCGGAACCAGTGCACTGTGTTCATGACAGAAGAAAAATCGCACCTCAGTTTACTGCTGGTTCCTTCCTGGAGACTGGAGGCTGAAGGGCTCTGCTCCACCTCCACCCCTCTCACCCCTGCTTGGACAGAGAGAGGCAGACACACATGTTGGCACTGGGGAATCACGGAGCATTCCCAAACCTGGTCGATATCCCAGGAAACTCTCATGAGAATGGAGAACAGCACAGGGGCTCTGTGTCAGTCCTCCCTTCCCTGCCTCCCACCGTCAGGTCTGCAAGCCCTTGAACCCAGGAGGGGGCCTCAACTCACAGCAGACCTGCAGCCACGAAAGCGCCAGCAGGGCTCCCAATGTCCTCTCCATGGCTTCTGCCCTGGTGCTTTTCTCCAGGCTCTGGAGGTTGTCAAGTCTTGGGCCCAAACTTGTTCTTAGACCAGAAAGTTCCTTAGACTCACTGAGCACAAGACACATTTGAACTTAGCTTCTTAACAGGAAACCCACCCACAGTTGCTACTGTAAGAATGCACAGTAATCACTACAGAGCCCCCTAGTGGATTGAAATCATCAACACAGGTTATTTCAGACCGGCTGATTCCTCAGCCCGCAAGCAAGCACTTTTCACTCTAATTTTCCTGAAGAAGGAAATGCAGGTGGTTAGAAATTGAAATACCTGAAATAGATGGAGGTTAAAAAAGAAGCACTTTTAGGGTTGGGGATGAAGCTCTGTGGAGGAACTCACGACCTCAAGTCCTGGCTTCAATATCCAGCACCAAATAACAAGAGTAATAAAATACTACATATAGTCCCAAATCTGCACTGACTCCACCTACCAATTCTGGCCCTTTTATCATTCATCACCCTAACTCATCCTTCTTTTCAATTTGGAGGTGATGTTAATAGGTCTCTTAGACTAGATTTTCAGTCATATACCAAGTGTGTGGAACAAGAGAAAATAGTATTTGTCCTATAGCATTTTATGTGATACAGAATGGTACATCATTTGTATATCTTTATGTAACATCCTTTATAAAGTCTATAACATATCTTGAAAGTCTTATGATATCACAAATAGGGCCCACGGCTATCTTGAACTTTGGTATGGACACAGTTTAGTTTGTACAACCTTGTCTTCATTGATCAACTCTTAAAATGTTTGTAGCTAATTAACAATAACACATAACACTGCATTAAACCACTTAAAGGCATTCCTTTTATTCGGGTTACCCATATTTCTCTAGAACAGGGTCAAGAAAGAAGTGAAGGGATGATCCATGCCGCCAGCAGATGGAAAGCTCTTCAGTGAAATAGGTACCAGGGAAAGGGATCTCAGGAATAAGGGAGTGAAATCATGTTCCTATTTTTGTGGAAATGACTTTTGTTTCTATTACTTTATTTATATATTGGATCTGTAATTTTCAACTAATTTTGTAAACTTTTAAATTAATGTCTTATATATACCTGCTGCATAGAGTACACTAACCAGCCATGAGATGATTCAAAAGATAGTCAATCAGCTAGAGGGAAAGTAACATCCAAAGAGAAGAAAGGGGATACACAAGGAAAATGTAAAACAACACTGTGTACACAAAATAGTAATAGAATTTCATATAGAAAAATATGAAATATACACAAAACTAAATATATGTATGCACATATAATTTAAGAATTCTTATAAGAACAGGAATGTACTGCACATATTCTAAAACACTAAAAGGAAAACGAACAGTTTTTCAATGTAACAGAAATCTAAGAAAAGGAAAGAATCAAGGCTACCTCAAACAACACCAAAACACTAAAATTGAATCCAAACAGATCAGTAAATCAAAACATATATTAAAAGAAATGATCTGATTGGATCAAAATTAAAAATCTTGTTACATACTGAAGTTGGGCTAAACACATACCATGATTAGGTAAAATACAGAACTACGGAGGTGTTCCTGGTGTTTCTGACATCTGATTCTCCTTACTTGCCCCATCTTCAAAGGCCTCAGTGTAGAGCCTGAGTCAGCTGCAAGGAGGAATTAAGCCAGGGACTGAGTGGAGAGGGCTGATGATCACTGGACTCCTGTTTGTATAAAGTGCCCTCTAGCGACAAAATAAAGAACTGAGGATCCAGACTCACCACAAGAAGCTAAGGTCAGCTTTCCTTCTGTTCAGAGATATAACAAAAACTTTCACTGAATATTTTTCTTCTCCCCTCAGTTTTATGTCCCCCCTTTAGCCAATTATATTAATCTTAGCCTTAATGAGTGGAATAATTCACTTTCGAGAAAATTATCACGTAATAAATAGATTTGGGAGTTCATCACATGTGTGGAAGAGAAGTGTTGTGATTCTTTAGGGGGACACATTCAGATCAACTTCCCTCATTTGAGCTTTGGATAGCCTTGCTGTAAGTGTGCGTCCAGTCCATGGAAATACATGATGAAACGTGAAGACAACTATTTTAGCTGGTAACATTAAAAATAAGATCGGATGTGGCTGGGTTCAGTTGCTTTTGACTGTAGTTCCAGATGCTATGGAAGCTCAGGCAGGAAATTCTATTGATTTCAGGAGACTGAGGCTAGCTGGGGCAACATAATAAGACCAGAGACCCTGTGTGTGTGTGTGTGTGTGTGTGTGTGTGTGTATGATGAGACACACAACACACAACAATCTAGAATGAAGTCTTTATCTATGACAATGAAGAAAAATTGCTTTTGTCTATTTCAAGGAGAATTTTGAAGATTCAGTGTCTTTACATCAACACCAGTGATAATACAATATTCAGATAAGACTGCCTGCTTCTCTGAAATGACTAGAGTATCCTGCCCAATTCTTGGTATCAGACCAGCAAGGGAACATGAAAAGACTTAAGAATATGCTGAGGAAACAAGGCCTACTGACAATGGCATTGTGAAACACAACACAATGTTTGAAGAATTAAAAGTCAGAGTAAAAGTAAATTTGTAGTAATCTTGGAATCCTTGTAATACCACAAACAAACCAAAAGAAACATGTGAAAGGAATAGACAATATAGGAACAGTTTAATCATGAAATTCAACATAGACAGGGCTGGGGATTTTAGTTCAATGGCACCCTTCCTTCATTGCAAGTGCAAGGCCCTGAGTTTGATCCCCAGTACCAAAAAAAAAAATAGACAAACCATAAACAGTTTATATGGCTGAAAGTTAGGTCTTGTAAATGAGGATAGTATTGACTGTGATCAAGAACAAGGGTATTTTTCTGAAAGACAAGCCTTTTCTTGACACCCTCTTGAGCTTTCAGATATCAGGGCTAAAAGCATAACCATCTCATTAGTAGATAAACTTCAAGGAAAATGAAAATAGAAAACAAGTGTTTTCCCTCAAGCAAATAGGACTTTTTTTCTAAAGTCAGAAATCTTTCCTGTTATGACTTGTGTCTAGGTGTCCCTCCAAAGCCTCATGCGGTCATAGATGGAACTTTATGTAGATGGCTGGATCTAACATGTGTGCTGCTGGGATTAAGGATATGATGCTGGGATGATTCATGGTGTCATGATAGGATTAAGCATGCCCCACCCTGGATGTGAGTGCTACTCACCCTAAGGGAAGACAGACTGGATAGAATATAAGAGACAGAAAGAGGGCTACTGGTCACTGCTTGTCACTTGCTGCTTGCTGCCTTCTGCCTGCCTTGAACTGTTTCTCCCCTGTGATATCTCTCTGCCATGCTGTCCTGCCTTGGAGCCAGCCTACTATGGACTGAAATCTCTATAAACTGTGAGCTGAAATAAACCTTTCCTCCTTTAACTTTGGGTTCAGATATTTTGTCTTAGCTGTGGGAAAACTAAGACATTTCCCAAGCCTGTGATTATTCCCACTAGCAAAAAATCAAATACATCCTTAGAATCCACATTTTCTTGCCTCTTTTGTGTATAGATTGCCTCCTTCATATACAGAGTTGTCATTTTAAAAATATAAATGTCCATGGATAGTGCTTCTGATTCTACATATCAGATGACCATATCCGCTCACTGCCTCACTCTTTCAAATACTCCCTGAGAAAAGAATAAAAATATAAAGCAAATGATGATCAAAACAGAAAAGTGAATAAACTTAAACAAGGCAAAAACAAGCTACAGTGCTATAAGTAGACTGTTGTGTTGGAAATTCTAAGAAGCAGCATTTGAATCTGGCACTAGTTGGGGGGATTCAAGATAAATGTTTATGATGAATTATAGTGTCAAAAACTTTTTCATTCTTTACAGCACTAAAATTGTAAGGAAGAACTAATGTCAAGTGTTCTCAACTATTATTTAAAAATTAAAAAGTGGAGACCTTTTTGAAACTGATTTTATGGGGTTAGGAGAAAACAGAACAAAAAAACCCTCCACAACAAAAAGAAGGAGAAAGAGGAAGGCAAGAAAGAGAAGGAGGACAAGCAGAAGTGGAAGAGGAAGATGAAGAAGAGTAAGTAAGAGGAAGAGGAAGAAGTGAAGAAAGAGGAAGAGGATAAAAAGGAGGGAGAGGAGGAGCAAAAGGAGACTATAGACCAATATTCTGAATATGGATGTAAAAATTCTCCACAACAAATCCCCCTTCCACAACTAAAGACTACAAGGAACTGAGCAAAAGAGGAAAAAGAAAATGTTGTGAGACAGTGGGAGACAGGGAAGAGAACCAGTGTGGAGAGCAAGCTAAGCAAGAGAGAGACCTGTAAGACTCAAAACATAGTTGCTCCCACAATGACTGCACCAGAAATAGAAAAGAGCCAACCTAATAGTCCAAGAAATTAATTTTGGTAGCTGCTTGAATACATATTAAATTTTGCAAAGCTATCTTGGCCTCTGTAAATGAATAGGATTTGAACTAAGTACAGAACCAAGTTGTTATGCTCTGGATAAAAAACAAGTGATGCCAGAAATTGCATTATCAGTTTAATTTGGTGTACATCTGGTGAACATTAACACACCTAAAGCAAATCAAAAGTCATGAGAAAATCACTAGGATAATCCAACACCTCAATATCAGAAGTCTTGATCACACTGTGTCAATAATAAGCTATTTTAATTTTAATTTAGAATATTATACTTTTTGAAAAATTCTTCTGAAAAAGACCAGCATTTAATGAAACAATAGTTTGATTATGAAAAAAATTATCCACAAATTCCTATCAAATCATATCCAATAAAACATTAAAAAGATCATTCATCACCATGAAGTGAGATTTATCCCAGGTTTGCAAAGATAATTCTATATAGGCAAATTAGGAAATGTAATTCCACTTACTTATTAATTTAAATTTCATTAATAGAATGAAGGATAAAAATTGATCATCTCAATAGATGCAGAAACATTCAACAGATTTAAACATCTCTTCATAATAAAAACTTTGA